TATCAAAGCATTGCTGACGTGTAACTTAGGGATCAATGGCTCAACCTGGTCTTGGTCCTACTCTATGGTGGGCTGAAGGCGGAGAAGAAGAAGAGGGCGAAGAAGGCGATGTCGACATGGAGGGTGCCGAGGAATGAGTGCCTCTGGACGGCCGCTGCTTGTTATTTTATCTAGTACACTAGAATATGGCAGATTTCACGGCCAATTCTGCTTCGTTGGAATGTCAGCACGAAGCAGAACTCGCTCTCAACCCTTCAGCCACACAGAATTTGACCTTCATTGACGCGTCTAGCCGCTACAGGAATGTTCTGCGTTGGGAAAACATCATCACACAACGCTTTGTAAGCGCAATGCAAGATGTTCCTCGCCAATGCAGGTGCATTCTAAGCAAACAAAATCGCTTCAAATACCTGCATGCTACGCTGCCCTCGTGTACCCTTCTCAACCACACAACATTCATAACAATATCAACATCAACATGACCAGCAGTGATACAGTCGAGAATAAGATCACCAAGAAACACGATCCAGATTCCTGGACGGGTTTATTAACGCTCGATCCTGAATCTTATCGCCTCCACGAACTGACAATGCATCCCTACTACGACGACTCAAAAACGCCAGCCGACGATATACTTCAGTCCTGGGGACCTCCCGAAGCCTTCTCTATCCTAACACTATGTGCTGCTATCCAAAAGAAATGCTCTCTCACGGCCTTCAAAGCGTATCTACAAACATACGCGGGAAGTCCTGGGTTTCGAGAAACCTTGACCAACCACGGCTGGCCCCTGTTGTATTATGCGGCTGAACGCAACTCTGTCGAGATGATATCTGTTCTTCAGCAACATGGTGTCAACACTGAAGTCCCTAACAACACGTTTGCCATTCCCTTGCTAGCATACGTAGCTATTCATGGTCAAGCAGAAGCCATCGACACCAGCGAAGTCATAAAGCTTGTGCTTGCCAATGGGGCCAATCCTACGGTCATACCCATGGACATGTGGGTCAAGTTCTTGGAAACGCCCCAAGACGAGCCTGTTGCCGCGATCCCGGTTCCTAAATCTGCCTTGCAGAAGTCAGCATGGTGTACCCCGACGCTCCGGCCTGTTCTAGCTCGGGCCCTGCACCTGACCCATCGATATCTACTGTCCTTGGCTTACAACATAGCACCGCTGCATGCCAGAGCGCGTCAAATCGCCAAAGGAAACAAGATGCTTGAGCTTACTAAACTCCCATACTTCCTTGTTGGCCAGCGATGTGCGACGAGATTGGTCATGAAGAAGGTCTACTCACACATCGCTCATCGTACCATGAAACCACTGATCATGGCGTTCGCGGGTGCGTCTGGTCACGGGAAGACAGAACTGGCCAGATCGATGGGACAGCTTCTATCCGTGGATACTGTATCGATTGATTGCGCCAGTTGCCGTGACGTTTGGGCACTCTTCGGGTCGACCGCGGGTTGGGACCGGAATGATTACGGGTCGAAGCTCAACAACTTCCTGACTGACCAAAGTGGAAAACGATCGGTTGTATTCCTAGACGAGTTCGATAAGACTGATCAGAAGGTCCGGGACGCGCTTCTCGTCATCATGCAAAACGGTAAGTCTCCTACGTCTTTGCCGATGCGCGCGCACTACGAGCTAACCTTGAACAGGCGAGTACGCAGATCGGCGCAACGATACCGGTGTGGACTGCACGCAGACAATATGGATTGTTGCGACGAACTTCGGTGACGACGAGATCAATACGTACTATGCCAAACACATTGAGAGGCTCAGTGAGAAGCAAAAGCACAACCTCGACATCAGACCCCTCCAAGTGAGTCTGGCACAGAAGTACGGTAGCAAGTTCGGAGTAAGTACTTCTCTTTCAGCCACGCGTATCCGCTAACCAGTCTAGATGCCGTTCACTGGACGTCTCCATCTTTTCGTTCCCTTCCTCCCATTCTCGCCCTCTGAGTGCGCGGTCGTACCCCACAAGTTCATGCTTGAATACGCGACCAGCATCCGCCAACCGATCGATCACGATCCTAGCGTCATCCGATACATCGGACATTGTAGATTATCACTCGTCGACGACGGCAAGATATGCACCGCCTTGACCGAGAAGTACTACAGTAAGGATCTCGGGGCGCGAAGCTTGGACAACGCTGTTAGGGAGGTCAGGGACGAACTTGCGGACAAGTACAGCGAGACCGACGTCCTCGCCACGGAGGATCTTAACGACGGACCTCTTCAGACGTTCATCGTGCGTCGATTCCTCATCGCGGATGACGTGTATGAAGTTGGAGTGTTCACGGATGGAACGAGTGGTGAGGAGGAGGCAGATAGTGAAGAAGGCGCAAATGGTGAAGACGAGACAAAATGGGGAGACGGTGTTGCCGGATGGAATAAGTGGGATGAAGATGGTTCTCGTTCAGACCGTAGCGAGGATTAGAAGCAAAGGATTAGCAGTTTCTAGTCTTCTATTACGATGTGTTGTGCATCTACACCTTCATAAGTAGGGTTTAGACGTAGCAGGCTGATATGTTTAGGTCTTGCATATGGTGTATTGTGATCAACCTGGTTAGCCCGTAAGAACAGATTCCAGCGCAGTCACGTATGAATGATGTAAGAGAGAGAAGCAGAATTCTAGTCAAATTGTCATCTATCAATGCTATCAAGTAGATCCAACATATGTTTCTGACGTCTCATCCTCGCTGATGATGTATTGAGTGTTGACTGTGGCGTACGCAGTGGCATTGGCCGTTCATGACTATGGCTTGCTTGCGGCGCGAGTGGAGCAACGTTTGTTGCATGGTTCGAAGATACTGTGCTGCTTATCGCTGGCCGAGAGCTTGAAGAGGCAGAAGACACCGAACAGGGTCTACCAGTCTCAGCCTGATCTCGTGTGGCCAGAGAAGGATGTGTTCGGGAGGAGACAGGATCAAGCTCGAATCTCGGCGGCGCGACTGATGTCGCGTTGGCGGGAGCGGTCGGCTCGCTGACCGTATGCGAGATGACAGGTCTGTGTCTCGGGATAGTCGGCAATTCTGAAGCAAATGTTGTGCTGTATGCTTGGCTCGCAGGCAACTCATAGTTGGTCGTTTGCGAGCTGAGCCGTAGAATATGTCTCGAAGTATGAGCTGGTTCGCTACCTGGCAGCTCTACTGCCAAATTCACATCCCCCATCAACTCCGATAAAGTCTCAATCTTCGTGTCTTGGAAGACATGGGCCCGTGGGGCTACATTTGGCGCGATAGGATGGAACGCATATGGATTCACTGGTCCGTCCGAGTTTGTGCCACTCATGAAGCTGTCGCCCGCCAGTTCTGCTGGCGCTTGACGCGTCTCTGGATACGTATAGGCCCATGTGTCATTTCGGGGTGGTGGTATGATATGCGCATCGTCATGCGCCTGAATCAGCGATGACCGCGAGCTTCTAAGGCTCGGTTGATCAACACTGAGATGAGGCTTGGTATCTTCGAGCGATGTTTCCGAGCGGGGACTGCGCTGTTCAGCCGATGTATATGTAGGGGGCGGACTGCTTGGTAGGCTGGGAGGCGATTGATATCGCGAGTTGTATGGCTTGTAGTCTCGGTGGTCTGGCATTACTTGCATTTGTCCACATAACGATCGTAGGGTGGACTTCACCGCATCCATGGTCGTCGCGTCTTGTGTGTATGGTGCCTCGGTAGAAAACGACTTCTGGTTTGCTGGCCACGGAGTGTTGTTGGCAGGGTAAGATGTCGTTCGATTGCTGTCCCCCAAGAAGATCTTCGGTGAGCCATCACCCAGTTGAGCGTGGCCGGTTGATCTTCTGTGCCGCGACACGATGTCATCAAAGTAGGTGGTATCTTGATAGGTGGGAAGTGCCCCAGTACTGGGAAGGTCCTCCAAGCGATTGAGAAAGCTGAGTACATTCGACAACTGTTGATGGCATACCATGAGTTCGCTCTTGCGGTCCGCTAGTCGTTCTCGGTCTTTGAGAATGTGTCGGAGTTTCTGAGATTGGTTCAAGACATCGCGATGCTGCTCGACGCTGCTGCTGTCCACCCATCTGCCGATCTCCTCCAAGGCGGAGGTGGTGTTCTCGATACAACTTCGTATCCAAGGGAGTCTTTCGGGTGTGTTTGCGAGTTTTGTTCGTACCGAGCCAACGGCGACCAAGCGCTCGACCTCGGACAGGTCGTTACGAACGATTCGTATCGTTCGCAAGAAGACTTCGCTCTCGCTCCCTACATCTGCGCTACGTATCGCAAGATCAGCGAACTGAAACGCCTTGCTGACACTGGCGGATCTCGTGGGTATACCTGTTACGTAGTAAGCCCTGCGCTGCGCTCTGATCGTACAGCATACATACCTATCAATCCGCTCATCTTATGAGATTCTGACTAGTTCGAATGGTAACGGAGGAGCTCATCAGCGACGGCTGATTCTCATGATGAAACGGAGATGCAGGTCGTGAAGAACAAGTTCATGAGTATGACAGCTGCCGGTGGGCGGCTCATAGACCCCCAACACTCTGTAAGCAGCGAAAGCACCAACAAGGCTGAACGTGCGGGTACTGGAATACCCCTCATGCTGTGTCGCAGTGCTTCGAGAACCGATCTGCAGCTCAATGCTTCTTTCCACGGGCTGAGCTCATGCGTCTGCGCCTAAACATAGGGTCATTACTCCGCGGGCCATGATGCCGGGCTTATACCAGATATTCGAACCCATCGACCTAAGTATATCTCACGACCGAGTGGCTGCTGCGTGTGTCGCGATGGTGAGTCGCGGATTGGACGAAGCAGAAAGGGACGCTCCTTCTCCGTGCCGGTGGCACTGGCGCTAAGACACATGGAGTTTAGTGCAAAAGCAAGCATCAACTTCTCTCTTCAGCCTCGTCCCTTCCTCCTGTGCGTTTCCGCCCGCACCCATCGCCATATCCCAGACGCATCTCAGCTGATCAATTGGTGCATTGCATACTGCATAAACTATCGATGAAACGCCATTCTCGCCCCACCACACCTCGTTCTCATGCCGCAATCTCCTTTTCCAGCAACACGCGTGACGGCACCAGCACCTGCCCCTGGTCTCCGATTATCTGTAGCAATGCTGGGAACATTGTCAACCCCCCATGTTCGCTAGAAAACCCGAAACGGAAGACTCCGGGCTGTTCAAACAGCAGAAACGCGAAGTTTGCCGACCGCGCAAGAATCATGTCCAAATTTTTGCTGCGCTGAGTTTCCAAGCCACGCTGCACGAAGGGCGCCACGATGGCGTCCAGGTCTGTAGCCGCACTGGCGAATCTGCGGAGTCGGTCTTGCGTGTCCTGACCAACTCGACCATGCAGGAGAGCACCGGTTATGGTCTTCCATTTGCTGTACATGGCTGATTGGGCTGCGTGGTGGAGTTAGCTTCCTGTTTCAAAACTCGCAAAGCTGAGATGAACTTACCGGCATTCTTGCCGTCCTTTCCAGGAACGGCTGAAGCGAGAGGTGCAAGCTCTCCCGGAAGCAAGCTCTCAACGCGTTCTCCGGTGCATCTCGAGAGCACACTCCAGGCTACAATGAGGCGAAGCGTTTCGGCTCGGGTTGAGATATTCGAGAGCATACTTGCAAGTACGGAAGAGCTTGTGCCAGTTGCGATCGCCAGCTCTTTCATATTTGCCTGGTTGATACTGCCTGCCGGAACGGGAGAAACATGGTAAAACTCTCGAACGTGGTTCTTGATGCTGTCCCGTATCTTCAAGGCTGCATCTGTGATGGTATCATCTGCTACAGGCTGAGGTAGCATATCGTCGATGTTTGAAGCATAAGCGCTGGTAGCGACAGTCGGGCCTTTCTCCACTTGCCCAGCAGCGCCATAGTTGTGAGCGGAAGGTGGTAGATGATTTGGTGTGGGATTGTATCTTCTCTGCTTCTGACGGCGTAGCAGGAAAAAGAACACGGCTCCAGCGATCAGCAAACCGACGAGGAACATTCCAATGGCTACCCCGGCCACCGCACCTCCTGGGAGTCCTTCCGAAGTCGAAAGCGGTGCCGCCGACGCCGTTGCATTCCGCCCCGTGGTGTTGCTAACAACTATGCCTTTGCTCGGTGATTGTTGAGGAGTGGGCGGTGATGTCGTTGGCGGCGTGGTCGAAACACATTTCGACTCCGTAGAGTTAATCCAAGTGAGGGCGCAAGTGGGTGCCGGGACATTCGTGTCCACTACTGCTGCAGGAGCAGAAGTTGAAGAATTGGGTAGCGATGTCACCTGGGAAGACGACGATGCCGATGCTGGTGTTGATGGTGTGGATGACAACGCTCCCCCGATCGCCGGCGCGGTCGAAGAACCTGGAGTCGCTTCCGGACTGGATTCCGCTACTCCGCTCATGATCTGTCTATTCGCAGACGTTCTCTTGGGATACACACGTATGAAACTTCAGAAGACAACACAGGAGCGAAGATGTTGAGACTACCTAGGTATCGTCGACTTAAGCAAGGCAGGCGTACCGCAACCCGATAGCACAGCCCGAGCAGATATATGCAGGCTTCAGCTGTACAACAGTAGCGCGGGCTGCGAAGCTCTGACCGCATTATTGGTTCACCGGAAATGGTAAGTGTTGACGAGGCTGATACCAGTAATGTGGTGTTGAACTCTATGGTGTGGGGTCCAAATGCATTGTTGCTGAACGGTCACCAGCACGAGCCTGCGTGGCGTGTTACTACTGCATATCGGTCTGTCTCACCAAATCAACATCGTGTAACACCGCCGCAAATGAATTGGTACCGCTACAGACCCCACGTTGTACTTTCATGAGAATGGTCTCGACCTGTCGGCAAAAAAGAAGTGTGAGGCTGAGCCAAGAGTGGCTTTCCAGAGGACAGGGAAGGCCGGCATATCTCAGCCTTGTCGTTTCTTGCACCTGAATCTCATACATGACAAACATCACTACCTGTTGCTGAAACTACGCGAAGCTATAGTACTCTTGTTGTTGTTGTTGCGAAGCAGAAACTGACCATCATTTTAACCCGCGTTTTCATCATGGAACCTTCACAAACCCGACCAGACTTAGTCGTATCCATCGATTTTGGAATGACATGTAGGTAGCGACTTGTGAGTTGACAAGATCTCAGCGCTCATAGGATTTACAGGTACTGGTGTCGCATACTGCAACGTAGCGACTGGGTCTGATAATGTACGGCACATTCAACGCTGGCCCGGAAGGACGCAAGCGAATGAAAACAAAGTAAGATCTTCGATGGTATACCACAAAGCCTAAGTTAACTTCGTGCAGGTGCCGACGTTACTTGTATACCCACAGAACTCCGAAGCGCCGTCATCATGGGGATTCCTTGCTGAAACTGCACAAGAGAGCAGTGGTGCAGGTCACGAGAGCAGGGAATGGTTCAAGATCATGCTCGACGAGGACTTACTGGAACAAATGAGATCCAAGTCTAGTGAGCCATCGAAAGTACCACATATCCAAGAAGTAGAGAAATGGTAAGCTCGGTACTGGAAGTCGGTCTTGCAGTGAGCTGATGGTTTTCCAGGTACACGGATTATTTCAGCTACCTCTACCGTACGATCGAAGCGCGACTACGAGGCGAACTCGCAAGCCGATGGGAAGACGCGAACATCGAGTTCATCTTCTCGGTACCTACAACATGGAAACCTATACCCACTGTGGAACGATTCAGGAAGACGATATCCGCAGCTGGTTTTGGGTCGTGCGCCAGCCACACAGCATCAATAGGGCTGACGGAAGCTGAGGCGGCTGCGGTACATACAGCGCGGAGTATGCCTGGTATCTTCAAGGTGAGTTGCCTAGCAGATCATGATACTCCTGCGCAGACTATAACATTACCAACAGGAGAATGAGTTACTCTTCGTATGCGACGTGGGTGGAGGTACAACGGTGAGAAAGCATCGTAGTGCTGCCTCATGGCTGGTTCGCTGAGTGTTATAGGACCTATCGGTTTTCCGAGTGAAGAACACTCAAGGTGGCTCTCTTACTCTCGAACAGATTGATGTTGTATTCGGTAAGGTTCTCGCAGCATTACACCTGTGCTATACTGACCTCACGGAGGTGCCACTATCGGAGCCGCACAACTCGACAGTCTATACGAAAAAGCGGTGCTACAGCGATTGGAGCATGCCGATCGACTTCAGCCAATGGGACTTCAGGATGTACACCAGGCGGCATGGGAAATGCGAATCTCGAAGGAATACCAGAAGTTTGTTTGCATCATCGATGAGAGCGATGACAACCTGACTGACTGCTCAGTGCAAAATGCGATTACGGCTCGGAAGAATCTTTGATGGATACCGAGACGTTTGCGGTGCGGGTACCCAAACTGGACAAGGCTTACAACAACCGAGAATGCGCTATCAGCGCCGGCGACATGTACTTCCAGCGGTTAGACTTACACATGAGACCTACTCGTGGTGTTCTTGACTGACACCTCTGTAGCGACGATTTGAAAGGCTTTTTCGACACTCAGGTATCTAAGCTTTTCGAAATGATGGACAAACAGCTCGCTCGTGTGCAGCAAAAGTTTCCATCCGAACAAGTAGTACGTCAACTTACATGTCATGCTATAATGTCACCGTCTCACCCAGTTCAGTCTCATCTCGTCCTGTCCGGAGGTCTCGGCAACTCCGCATACGTTCAAAACTGTCTACGAAGCCGATACGCATTCGGCAGCACACCACACTCCAACGCACAGCATATGCAGATCCGCATCGCACCCGACCCGCAACTCGTGGTCTGCAAAGGCAACGTGACCGACCGTATTCAGAAGCTCAAGACCGGTCAATCGGTGCTCGGGTGGCGATGTAGTCGTGCATCATACGGAACGATGTGCAAGATGCTGTACGACCCGTTCAACCTTGCGCACTTTGGGTTGAGGACGGAAATTGATCCTTTGGACAAAAAGGAATACGTCATGGATTGCATCGACTGGTTTATCAAGCAGGTAAGCGCACTCTATGGGTACAATATGACAACAAGACGCTGACTGTGTCAGGGCGAGCCAGTCTCGAGCGACTTCCCCATAGTAAAGAACTTCCAACGAAAGTGCCCACCAGCCTCATCCAAGTACCCCAACCCACCGAGAATCTACCCCACGGAAGTAATATGCACAGAAGTCGACAAGTCTGAACTTCCAACAGTAAAAAACGACGGTAGGTGTACATTCCCGACATGACGAAACGCAATACTAACATCCTCAGCCTGCCGCTCAATCTGCAAGATCGAATCCGATTTCTCCTCCCTCCCACTTTCCCTCTTCAAGCTCAAGAACCGACATTGGTGGAACTCCGGCCCGAAATACCATCGCATCAACTATGTCGTCAAAGTCAATCTCGGGCCCGCTGATGTTTCTTTCGAGCTTTGGCACAACGGTGTCAAGCTTTCGAAAGACAACTCCATCAAGGTTGAGTGGCAAGCGAGTGCGCCGCCTGATCCGAATGCGACAACAATTGCGCCGGACTTTCCGATGAACAGTTTGCCGGCGGTATCGAGCTATGATGCAGCGCATCGCCGTACGGTAAGGTCGGTTGGGGATAGTGGCGGTAGGCTTGGGACGAATTGGGGGAAGTGGGAGAACAAGACTGGTGTCAGATCTCAGGTGTTGTCGGCGTCGCACAATGGGTCCAGGGTGTGGTAGGAAACAGTATTGTTCGCCTCCATGCGCATCGTGGATGGGTTCGCTGAGATCCAACTCCTCGTACGCAGGTTGCGGTTTTCGCGCGTTTGTCGTTCCCGGAGCCGTGTATTGATCATGTTTCCGTTTCTGTAGCGAAGTCGACCAGCGCCTAAAACCGCAGGAACATGGTGTTCCAAGCATACAACATGTTTATCGCGGAGTCTCCAACGTGCCTGTCAAACCCCGCCCATTTATCATAAGGTCTATCCAAATCACAGCATCGCACAACAGGAAAAGTGCCGCAACCGCCATGAACATAACCATCAGAACGGCGAAAAATACGCCACAAGCGTAAAATAGCTGGCCGACTTTTTCTTCAACAGCAAATGGCGGATCGAACAGCTGGCACCGACATATAGGACATAAATGCCCACCTGGAGATTTAACGAGCTCGGCAAGGCAGTCTCGGCCCATAACGTGGTTGCAGGGAAGAAAGAGCATCCCGGCGTGAGTAGTGTTGTCATAGGGTTCCCAACAGAGGCAGCATGTGTTGTCGTTGAATGTGTCGGTCGGTAACGCCGGGAAGGTCCGCCAATTCAAGAATTCGTCTCTGGAGACGTAAAGGCCGAGGAAATTTTCGAACATGGCTGGTGTTTAGTTGGGTGGTAGGTCTGTAGAGTCCGTTTAGTACAGCACGGAATGCAAGGGCGTGTTAAGTATAGATAAGTACTAGGTAACCAAGGATAAGAATAATGTTAGAGATGGTCAGTACCATCAAACCAGTTATCCACGCAGGACGAATGAGAAGAGGGCTATTCGCGCATATTGAACAACGGAGCGGTATAACCAAGGAACATGATTACGATACAGAATATTGATTTACCTCAGCGCGTAGAAGTACGCTTATTGCAGGTGGATGCCTATAAACGACGCTTAAACATCCTCACACCTCTGCCGCTGAAAACCGACCCACTTATGATCGGACGTGGGCTTAAAAAATCGACGGATTGTAGACGATCCCTCCGTATAGCAAGGCTATCATGATCTGAGCAAAGCATAAGCGAACCATTATAACCGAGAATACGGTGGTTGAGAAGATGACACAATCGCGCCGACTCAATAGTCGAAGGTCCATGCAACCCACGGGTGCGCTAAGTGCGATGGCCCAGAGGATCAACACTGGAAGCTTCTGCCACTGCCATGGCGTCTGAAAAAGCTCGTCTACTAGGTAGAAAACGCTGGTCTTCACCGCTAGGGCTCTGGAACGTCCTGACGAAATCATGAGATGAACATAGAGGGCTTGAACCATCGCGTAAATCCGCATCCCCAGTTCCAGCTGGGGTTGCAAGATTGGGTTCCTCGGATATATGTCGGTCAGGCGCTGTAAGACGAAGTCGATCTGGTAGCATACGTTCGACATGCGGTACCAGGAGTTGACGACCTTGACAGGAAACCTGATCCAGGCTGGAAGTCTATACCAGAACGGTTGGAGTGTGTACCAGAACGCCTGGAGTCGGCTGAAGGCGAATATTGCCCAAATTTGCAGACGCACAAAGTTGTCCAGAAGGATACGCCAGAGGAAAACTTGAGTAGGAGGCTGAAACCATACTGCTCGGCAGATGGGGCATTTGTCTCCATTCGGGGCTTCGATCATGTCTTCGAGGCAGACGTCTCCGAACACGTGATCGCAAGGCTGCACGCGAACAGCGCGATGATCTTCGTCGTATGGACCCCAACCTAGAATTATTAGCACACATTACATATCAAGTTAGGGGGGAGTACTTACAGAACGTGCACTTGTCTTCGTAGAATTTGTCGTTCTCGCCAGCGCGAACGACATTCTTCTCCAGGAAGGTCTTTTTCGTAACACCGAATAGCTTTTCGAACATGGTTGTTGTTTAGGTTGTGGGGTGAGTTTGGGAAGCTGTTGTAAGAGCCACGCGATTTTAAATAGTCGTGCAGATGTGTCAGGCCACTCCAATGTAGAGCAAAAACGCTTGAAGGGCAGGGCGCATTGTGAAATAACGCAAGTTGTTGGAGAGTGAAAGATGAGGTGAAATTGAGAGAGCATTCACTCGTAATTACTGCGGCGACCCAGAGGCGACAAGCCAAACACAAATCCCGCATTTCACACGACTCATACGTAAGTGATACTCTACGAAAGAGAGAAGTATCGCGCCTCCAGTAATTGCTGCGTATGAGTGTATTTCATAAAGCGAGAGGCGACCATTGGTGATGTATGAAGTGGCTGATGTGGGCGCCACATCATGACGTCTACATCAGTGAACCAGAACCTGTAGTATCCTTCGGCATTTCCAAACTCGGACGGCTGAGCAAAGGGGAGAGATGAGTGGAAACCACGGTCGGTAGGCACAGAGGAAAGACGCGGGCAGTCTCCACGTGGATCCGCGTCACGGGCGCAGTTTAGCCGAGCACTAGCGCGCCGGCGCGCCAGCTACAAAACCCCGCCAAAAACTATTTCCTTGCTCCTCCAACGGCCTGCCTTGCCAACGCTGCGTTTCTTTGCACACCTACAGACACTCTTTCGAGAGCACGTCCTACCCTGCAAATGAGAAATTCGGAGTAATCTTCACTTTTTATCACGCCCACTTGTGGGCTGTACTGCTCGTAAGAGCCTGGCGTGACTCACGTCTGCATCCGGCATCAGAAAACTCAGGGCGCCAGAAAGCGCGACTTCTTGCTTCGGCGGGAGGGAGCGTGGAACTGGTGTCCCTATGGGAGTCGGTGCGAAGATTGTGTGCTTTGATCCTTCGGGTGAGAGGTGACACTGTAGTACAATACGCAGCGTACTTGACCTTGAGTAGCCTTTTGGGCGAAAGAGGGCACGGTATCATTCGATTCTGATTACTCTGGCGAGGCAGGCCGTTCAACTTTTTTTTACTATGTAAGTGCGCTTTGCGCTGTCTCCTCTGGTTCGAGGATACTGCTAATAAAACCTCATGCGAATCCAATGGAACGAAGCCCTACGACTACTGCGCGATTTTCCTCTTGTCTTCTTCCTGGAGCGCCTACTCCTGCGGCTCCGATGCTACGTCCTTCTCCAGCGCATACATGATGTCTGTCCGCAACGTATACTTAGTACCCTTCACAACGTCATCGCCCGAGTGAATGAGGAAGCGATGCTGGAAGAGCAGGACACGTCCGGCCTTTGGCTCGACGTCTATACGGCTCTTCATACTGCTATTGAAGAATGTAGTGGCGCCACCCTCAAGCTGTTTCTCTCCGCTCTTTGATACCGCGTCATTGAGGTACAGATGCAGGGTGAAATAAGAGCGCTCGGTGCCGTCGGGCGTTTCGTAGGTCCCATCGCAATGCGCTGATCTAGTCAGCAGCTACAGTCGCAAGATGCAATACAATACATACGTTTGAAATACTCCCCGCCGATGTACTTGAGATAGCGTCCGCGTTCATTGAGTCTAGTCACCTTCCACGTCTCGCCCCGCCTCGCTGGGCCGTTGCCTGTGACGTCGACCCAGTTGTGCAATCGATGGATCTCAGGCACCGACGCCTCTATCCTCGCCCATAGCTTGGCCATGATGTCTTTATTGTCCCAGATGATGCGCCCACACTTTCTCGTGTCCTCATACATAGCCTGCATGCCTCCACCAACGTTGACTAGAGCCCTTTCCCACTTGCCGTTTGTGGTCGCCTCGGCTGCTTGCACTAAAGTGTTGCACTCGTCTTCGGAGAGGACACCATCGAGTATGACAGCCCATGACTTTTCGTCCTCTAACAAGCCAGCCTTCTTGAAATCAATTTTAGACCTGGTCAGATTGGGCGCTGGGCCTTCGAGGAAACCATCGGGCAGTGTATATGTGGAGGGCGGAGGGCTGGGCTGGACGGATGTCCGATCTTCGTGGGTGCGAAGCAGGTCCTCCTTCAGGTCTGCGGGTAAGGTTCTGGGAGCTGCCATTGTTGATAGGTATTGCACTGAAACTCGGAATGCGCGCAAAGGAAGTATGTCCTGAAATGAAGTTTTGAATCAATGCGGACTATAAAGGCTGCGCCGGGCTGTGAAACCGGCTGACTGCTGCCTGGAAGCCGTCGATCCATACGAGAGACATGGAGGCCACAAGGCGTCTTTCGTGCATTTCCTGCATATCGCCCACAAGGAACGCGTGAAAGCCCTCAGGAGCGACTTCCTGCTCATCTTATGCCTTGGTAGCCCTGGAAGAAACAAGCAGTAGCCCCATGACGCGGGTCCCTGGCGTGGCCACGGGACGATGATCGGCGAAAAGAAAGCACAGTAGCTGGACAAATGATTTCTAGAGATACGGCCGCCGCCTCCTGCGCTGTGTTCTCAACGTTCCACCTACCATGGGTGACAGCTGCCTTGTTAGCTGTCCAGGTGGTGCTGGGTGCTGGGGTGGCAGGGACTGTCACGTGGAAAGGCAGTAGCTATTCGCGGCCCTTCTCGACCCTCACAGCCTCGCGTTTCAGGCACACGGGCTGCATCCGGGCTGCATCATCATCGTCACCGCGCACACCTGATCCACCAGCTCATCCACAAGACGCGAGTCGGACGCAGCACAGTGAAGGCAGTTTCATGTGACCCGTTGCTTCTTATCGACACCAGCGCCGTCGTGCAGTGCGCGACCAAGGCCATCGCAAGCCACTGCCGCTGCCTCCCTGCTCCGCCAACCGTCGCGCCAAGCTAGAGGTGCCGACTTCACTCCTAATTTCCCGCTGCCACGCCAGCTTCACGACGCTCCGAGGCGCTGACGCGACGCCGCAAAGCTCAATTCCCCGCGACCTGACCACCGTCGCCCATTTCCCACCGTCTATCAACACGTCGACCCTGGCGTCGCGACCGGCCGGACCACCACGCTCGCCGCCGTTCGCTCAGCAACCACAGCACTAGTCACGCAAACACACCGCCCGCCGCCAGCCTACGCCAGACCCTGCGTCTACCGTCTATCGATACCTGCCATTCTTCACCCACCAGCGACGATCGTCGCGCGCCTCTCGTTAACACCACATCTCCCGACTCACCCCAGTCATGTCGCACCCCCAGGATGCCGGCTCTCCGGTGCCTCCAGCCCACCGCAATCGATTCCCAACGCTCTTCGAAGTCCTCAGTAGGACAACCAGGCCACCACTGGATCTCTTCTCCTTCTACATCTACATGCGCGACCAGCAGCGCTCTGTCGACTACTTGGACTTCTGGTAAGACAATCCCATGTCCAGGCTCGGGGACCACGCTGACCACCAACAGGCTTGATGTGTCGCAACATCTGCAGTTATGCAGGCTTTACGTCCGACGGTTACACAGGAGCATGATAGAAGAAACTCCTGATCTCGAGAAAAATAGTAGGCGTTCATCTTACATGTTGAACAACGCTGGAGAAGGCCCTTCTAACGAGAAAGGTGACAATCTGTCTGACCAGCGCTTGTCCGCCTTTCTTCGTTCCGACCGCGGCAGCCGCAACCACTCGCCACAAAACAGTCAGGGTAGCAACCAGAGCCGAGAGTTCCCGCGTCCAAGCCTGAACTTACTAGACACTCCGGGTGATTCGAGCTCACCCGGCGTGAACTCGTCCACTGATAACACTCAGCCCAGCAGAGAGGACCTGCGCGCGTCGGCAGAGAAAATTCTGTACACGTACTTGCTCCCCGGGTCCGAGCGGGAAATAATAATTCCCCAGAGTATCCTGACCGAGGTTCAAGAGGCCATAGAAGGGCCAGAGCAGCGTGCGGATCCCGAGCTCTTTGACAGTGCCAAAGACTACGTCTTCCAAGCCATGGAGCGCGATGCATACCCAGGTTTCTTGCAGAACAAGGGCCTCGGCAACCTTGTACCCCAGAGCATGATGCTCCGTCTCATAGTAGGACTGATCAGCTTCTTTGCGGCCATGTGGACGTCGTTCATTCTTATATTCCTTGACAAGTCAAGAAGCACGCGCTGCTGGGTATGTCACCTTTCGGTTATGCGATGGAGAATCAACTAATGTTCTGCACAGATCATCCTCCCGTTCACTATCGCCATCTACCTCATCTTCACGCACCAGTACATGCTTGACCCAATCCTCGCCCTGGCTGGATTCAGCGAGTACACCTTCTTCGACTTCAACCGGATCAGGGAGCCATTCGTCAAGAAGACGCTGAACCGGCGCTCCATCACTGTCATGGTCATGTTCCTGGCTGTCACGGTAGCTGTCTGCTGCCTCTTCATCTTCGTGCCAGGCAAGCGCCTGTAAGCCAGTGCAGCTGCATGGCTTGTTTTGATACCACATGTAATGTTTGTTTATTCTTGGCGTTGTCAGAATGCGAAGCGCGGAGGGAATCAAGACCAGCGGGGACATGGAGAAGATACCCCCTCGCTTCGTCGCCATCCGACCTCCAGCAGGCTTTCCTTTGTTTTTGAGCTGATGCTTGGATCGGCCATGTTCTGGTAATGGACGGCTGTTCTCTTTCTAGAGCATGGTGTTCAGGCGTTCTCTGTGAGACGATCAATAGCGAGTTCAACTGAGATATAACCCCCACCAATTGATATTCATCTTTAGCAGCGCTCAAATGCCATGTGAAAGTAGACAAGCGTGATATGTATGCACCCCTGATTGACGTTTGGCGAGCCGTTAGGTGTGGAGTTGGTGCATGCACGCCAAGGCGCAATGACGTGAACCGCGGCCGGCTTTCACAACCTCAAAGTGCACCTTTACGTCCACTATCGGCAGAGTACGCGCATCGCCAGTCGCGCCCTGTATAGCTCTATCGGAACCACTACCAGCACTCCATAGCCCAACGCTCTGGTCTTCCAATCGCTTGCAATCGCGACATCTGAAGTGCCAAACCTTCTTGCAGCTACAGGCACTAGCGGAGTGGATAGCAGCAACCAGCAAAATGAGCGGGCCAACAGCTAAGAGCAAGAGAGGGCCGACGGTGCTCATGACCGACAGCCGCGACGCCGCACCCCGAGCACCCCAACGACCCGGCGCAGGACAGCGACAGGCGACAGGCGCGCGCTTGATCTCGGTGGACAACATCCTGCAGTACGCCTCGGACATTCCCTCGCAGCAGCAGCGACGCGGCCCACCGGGCAACGCCAACCGCCCCATCATGCACACGCGTACCCCCAGCGGCCGCCATCCGCTCGATCCCAGACTCACTGGCCGCCTGATCCCCCAGCACATGCCCACGCGCTCCAGCAAGCTCAGCGAAAAGCTCGTCCTGCTGCCCGAGACGGAGGGCCAGGAGGAGGACGAGAAGGGCGACTTTGACGACGACGAGTACGAGGGCCCGCCCACCGACGAAGACCTTGCGCGACGGACTCCCAAGGGCGGGCCAAACGACAAGAGCTATGCCGAGCGCCTGCCCAAAGCGAAGCGGACGGATAAGCTGTCGCGCGTCACGGCCTACTGCACCGCCCAGGCCTACAAGATGAAGAGCACCGCTCAGTTCGTCAAGGACACCCACAATGCGCGCACCAAGCTGTACGACGACTGCCTCTACACCGTATACCACCTCCCGCTGCTGCCCGGAAACGATGGCTACCGCGTCCGCAGTAGCCCGGCGCTCAAGAGCCCAGGCGGAAAGACGGTGCTCGACGAAGAAATCGAGCGCAACGAGCAGCGCGATCACCACGAAGGCTACTTTGGCGACGAAGAGACATACTACGTGCGCGACGACCACGAGCTCGACCAGCCCTGGGACGGCATGCACGACCGCCGAGACTCGACCGAGAACTCCAGAATCGCCCCCAATGCGCTGACCTTTGGCGAGATGTTCGTCTTCTCCTACGGTGTCGTCGTTTTCTGGAACTTCACAGAGAAGCAGGAGAAGGACATCTTGGCCGACCTCACCTTCTCCGCCGTCGCTACCGGAATCAACATCGCAAGCCGACCCTTGGCCGAGTCCGACTTTGAGACGGAAGAGTTCCACTTCGAATACAACCCCGAGATCCAGCGACCCCGCGTCTACAACGACATGATTACCCTCAAGAGCGGAGACCACATGATCAAGCTAGCCATGAGCCACGCCATCGCGCAAAGCACCAAGCTTAGTCTGTTTGAAGAAAGCATGAGCAGGACTATGCTCGCCGCGCAATACGTACCGAAGCGCTTAGCACTTACCGGAAAGTTGGGCATGAGGAGAACGGATGTAGTCAAGATGATTGGACAACTCTTCACCAGCCGTGTCGAGGTGAACCTGTGTACGTATTGAGCCACCCGCTCACGACCTATCAATTGCTAACCTCTCCCAGCATCGAATATGCTCGACACCCCAAGCTTCTTCTGGGACTCCGAGCCTACCCTCCACCCACTCTACACCGCCGTCCGCGAATACCTCGAGATCAAACCCCGCATCCAAGTTCTCAACGAGCGATGCCAAGTCTTCTTGGATCTGGGCGAGATCCTCTCCGACTCCATCAGCGACAAGAAGATGACTAAGATTACGTGGATCATCATCGTACTCATTGTCCTGAGTATCTGCATAACGTGTCTTGAGGTGCTGCTCCGGTTTGCTATTCTACAAAAGGGCAGGACTAACGTTCCTGTGGCTGGAGATTTGGAAATCAGGGCCGTGGGTGGACTCAAGGGCATGGGTCCGCCCGCGTATGCTGGCCCGGGTCTACTCGCTGCGAGGAGTTTGGTTTGGTTTGGCAGCGGGGTGAAGGGTCTGTTGGTTGGTTGAGTGCATGACGTGTAAGGGGGAACAGAGGGGTAATACAGATCACGAGGACATGCATCGAGTGGTCGTCCAACGGGCATCTATTAGAAGCCGCAGTGCTGTTCGGTCGCTTTTTTATCATCATTCTAGGCATCAGCGATGGGCGTTTCTGGTCGGCGCCAAGGGTGTGTTCTTTGGTTTTACAAACTCTAGAGTGGGGGATACGTGTAATTCTGAAGGGTTCAATTCCAGACAAAATGCATCACCACACTCCTTTCCTGTCCTCCCCTCTTCTCCATCGTGGTCAAGCACAACGAATACATGTAGTCTTTCAAGGGTCGGTTTCCAGACAAGGCAAGTCATGCACGTCTACCTGTCGTGTTCCCCCCTCGTCCATCGTCATCAAGACTCACTTTCATCCCTGGACTGTATTTCTCCAATACGCTCCATGCCAGACTGAATACATCATGGAATCCTGTCCCCTATTTTATCGTTCCAAGTATCGTGATAAAATGCCCCCATTTATATTCCACATCTTCCTCCCAGCACCTTGATCCTCCATCTTCCCATCCACATTCTCACCAGCGACCAGCCAATCATGAAATTCCACAACCCCCTCCTCAACCTCCTCAGCCTAACCGCCATCCTCATCCCCGATGTCTCCGCCCACAAAGACAAGAAGAAAGCCGCCGCAGAACTCGAGAAAGACATGACGGCTCACACTCTGGAAGCCAAGGCCGTGAACTACATGGTCTTTGTTGAGCCCCTGTGGCACTTCATGGACATGTGGCATAACCATGAGGCCTCGTACGGTGTTACAGGTCTGGACTGGGTGACGGATGCCTGTACAGGCGTTGATGACAGGCCGTTTAAGTGGGACTGTGAGTTTACTGGTAGCGGAGAGAGGGAGTCTTGGATCTAACGTCAGGTAGTCAAACCGGCGTGTATCCGCCATGACTTTGCTTATAGAAACTTCAAGCGCCAGGGGAGGCTGGGTCATGTAAGCTACCCCTTCCTTTCTTTCCACAATTCCGCGCTGGTTTTTTTCTTCTTATTTCTTTCCCAACGCACGAGAGCCAGAAACTAATCAAACCACACAACAGCAAGCCCGCAAGAAAATCGACAAGAACTTCAAAGAGGACATGTACGATCAGTGCAGGAAGGAAAAGCACAAACATCTGTGCCGTATTGGTGCGAAGATTTATTACGCCGGTGTGAGGGTTATGGGGAGGAGAGATTTGGTTGAGCCGGAGAAGACTATGATGCATGTGACTGGAATCGCCAATGCTACCACCGAGGACACTGCTGCCATCGCTGCCATCACTGTCGACTCGAATGCTGAGATTACCGCTGAAGAGAGGGCTCAGAAGGTGTTTGAGGCTTGGATTGCAGAGCTGCGAGCGCATCCTGAGGTGCTGATGGAGATGACTGAGAGGGATTTGGAGAATGTGGAAGTGGCGCTTGATGAGGGGATCAATGATATTGAGAAGGGTGATGAGGTGCAGGAAGAGATGGCTGCTGTTGGCCTCTGATGAGATTTGCGAGCTATTGGGACGACACAAGCATATCCGGTGTGTCATGACCCAAGAGATCTCTGTATCTCCATCCATATACGATCTCTCTCATTCAGTACTACCAATAGCAATACCACCCATCTACCCCACCCTTCTACGTCTACTCCTTATCCACAGCAAAAGCCTTCAAATCATCCATCGCCACACCCTTCAACGCCTTCTCATTCGTCGCCTTGAGCACAACCTTGGGCACCTTCTTATCATCCATGCCCGTCCTCGCATCAAACGCCTCCTTCCACCTGCTCACACAAAGACACCACTTGCAGCCGTCCGTCAGCCCCACTTGGCGCAAGTCGTTGCCCCGCGCGGCAGAGAAGTCGAGGAACTCTTTCGAAACTACACCTGCGATGGCGTGGTTGCCGGCGTCCGAGGCGGGCACTTCGCAGTAGCCTGAGCGCGTGAAGCCGGTTAGGGGCTGTGTCGAGTGGAGCGCGAGGGGTTGCTTGAAGACTGTGGTGTGTTAGTGATGGTGAGTTGGTGATGGGTGTCCTTGTATATGTCTGGCATGGACATGCCGCCCGTTCATCATCGAATCGCAAACACCCGTCGCAGTGCATGAACGACGTTGAGACTGCGAAACGCGTGCCTGAAGATCCCGAGTCCGCGACGAAACTGTTTCATGCAAATGAACACAGGATCGGGATGTCGCGTAACCGTTTGGCTGGATCCCGAACGTTGAGACTTGAGACGACCCAATGCGGGACCCCGATGTCTTGTCTCCTCTTCTCCATGGAACCATGTGATCTTACGTACCGTTTAGAGACATACTGCCAGCTTCTTCCCGTTGATTTCCCCCGTGATTCTGGATTGGCGCTCTTTCCCACTTAATCTGCACGTCGTGTACGTGAGCGTATTCGCGTTTCGGAGCTGTTCGTGCTGAACGTGTAAAGTTGGAGAGGAGATTACGTAGTAAGCGCATGAGTGACGAGGTAGCAGGAGCACGCGCGGTTATCAACGTGCACACAATGGTTGACGGCTTGACTGGTGGTGTGCTCAAGATGGCGTCAAGAGAGCGTTAGAGCGGAGGTTTAGCGCGTAGGGCTGAATGGATGACGTTTGGCAGGGGGGTAGCTGCCGCAGATCTCGAGAGCTGCGCGATCGGCTGTTGCACCATCGTGGGCCGCGGCTGGGATCTGGGCGTTGGGCGTCTTTGCCGGGGAGCGGGCCTAGGAGCGGCGATCGGCGCGACGATCTAGATTGTGATGCCATCGCAGCTATAGAAGAGTGCTTTTGATCAGTCGTCCCTGATATTGTTATCCCGGGTCTTGACGTGCTGGATGTGTTATTGATGCAGGCTGCGGCATCCATAGGTTAACTCAGCATGTGGCGTTAGCGGACTTCAAGCAGTATACAGGCACCACCAAGTGATCGGCATGTCTGGACAGAGTTCACACGGAGCTTTATTCATGTTGAGAAAGGTTGCATCATCTGGGATGGTATTGATTTAAAGTGATTGAAACAGAGCTACTGCGCCATGCAATTGTTCGTAGATGATCCTTTTCTGTAACCGACAGCATTAAGATATCATCGCAGTCGTGGATGTAGAGAGCGATCGTGGGCGACACGTATTGATGAAAAAGGAAAGTAGAAAGTATACAAAAACACCGTTTCCCAAATGCATCCGTGACCGGTCTTGCCATCCAAACGCCGCCAGTAGGAAAGAGCCCAAACACCTTTTTGTGGGTATGCAATTCGCTGCCATCCTTATGAGATCGGTAGGCCGTGGGTATATATGCAGGTTGTAATGTAGTAAGTCGTATGCGCACTAAGCGCAGCGTCGTGAGTGACGGGTAGTGTGTGGTGCTCATCGGTGCACGGCACCCGCCTTGATCTCTCTCTTCATTTCCTCGAGCTTCTTGTGCATCTTCAGGAGGTCGTTCCTCTGTGCCTCAGTCGGGGGCTTCTCCGCCTCCGTCAGCTGCCAGTACAGCTCCTCGTACTTCTTATAGTACTTCTGGAACCTCTGCGAGAGCTCGACAGTCTGTCGGAAACTCAAGTTGGGCATGGAGGGTGAGGTGGTCGATGTGGAGGAGGCGCCTGGGGATGCGCGTGGGTTGTTGTGGTGGTAGCGCGAGGCGAGGCCGGTGTCAATGTTAGCAACCTTGCGGACCTTGGGCGCAGTGGTGGGAGTGTTGGAGGAGGAAGAGTCGTCCGACTTGCGCTTCAAGGAGCTAGTACTGGAAGGGGTAGAGCCGTTGGCCTTGCCGTTGGCGTGAGAGGGGGTGTGAGTCGGAGTCGCGCGTTCAGCATTCGGCTTCTTCACAGCCAGGTTGTGGTTGTGAATGTCGCTGTCGATGTCGTTCGCCTTGCGCTTGAGCGAACGGTCAGAGTTACCACCGGACTTGGCGGGCGATGGAGCTGCCGCAAGCGCCTTGTGAACGGGGTGCGAGTCCTCGAAGTCGCTGGCATTGACAGGCGGCGAAGCGGACAGCGGCGAGGGATTCTTCGGCTTGGTGTTGATAGGCATGGTGGGCTTGAAGGGCCGGTTGGCGGGGCGGTCTCGCTGCGAATCACGGCCACTCATCTTGGGTTTTGCGCGTGGGTTGGTGGTGCCTTCTGAAGCGGGTGCTTTCTTGTTGCGTACTTTCGAGGCGTCGGTAGCAGGTGTGTTGGATTTGGAAGGTGCGACGGGGCGAGGAGTTGAGCTTGAAGGCGTCGAAGAGGCTGGGGCTGTTGCTATTGTGGGCTGCTCCTCCTTCACCTCTTTCACGCTCACTTCCTTCGCGGCCGCAGCTGCCTTCTCACGGGCCAAGTACTTCTCCTTCATGGACGACTTCGGCTTGATCTCTACTTCCTTGGCGGCCTTGGGCTTCTTCTCAACTGCAGGCTTCTCCGCAGTCTTCTTCGTGACCGTCTTCTTCTTGGTGAGATCAGATATCTTGTGCATTGGGGTGCTGGCTTTGGGCTTAGCTTCCGGCGCCTTCACCGTCGAACGCGACAAGCATATGCCTTGGCCTCTCTGGTCACGGGGCAGTAGGATCTGCCAGAGCTTGTCGTCCTTTGCCAGCCGCTGGCGGTCGAACGACTTGATGGCGCCATCAATGGCTTGCTGCCGGTCCTCGGCGCTCTGGTAGGGGAACTTGAACGGATTCACCTCACGGAACGACTTGTCCGTCAGCTGCCACTTGTCGGCGTCGGCAGTGGAGCGCTTGGCTATCTTGGGCAGGACATCTCGTATGTTGGCCAGCGACGTCCTGCAGGTGGCGGCGAGAGAGGCTTCGGTGGCGGGCTCCCGCGCAAGAAGGTGTATGATGGGCACTCGGAGCGCGCTGACGATCACGTCATGGCTGTTGCTCGGCTGCGAGGTAGGAGCCCGCTTGTGCATGGGCGACGACGACGCGCTGAGCGATGGCGAGCCCAGCATGGAAGGAGCGAGGTGCGATGCCTTAAAGCCCGTCGACGGGAAGCGGCGATGGGCTGGTGTGCGCCCGGGAGCAGCATCGCCGACAATGGTCCTGCAGCAATCTTTGTCAGTCCTGGTGTACACAACTTGGTCTCATCATGGCAATCATCCGCGACAGGGGTGCTCGAGTCTCTCGACTTGATGCCAGAGATCGTGGGCAGCCATGGGATACCGGGGAGGCATACTTGTTGGCTTCCTTGAACTCTGATATCGCAGCCATGTTACTCCGTAGCTGCTCCAGCGCCGAGTCTACGCCTGCCGTCACGTCCTCCGCCTTGTGTACCATCAGACTGTGGTTGATCATGCCCGCGAACTCGAGGCTGTCCGGGCTTCCAGTCCCGCTGGACTTGTACAATTCGTATCGGTGGAGCTCGCTGCTGCTCTGCAGCATGTGCGTCTTGTCGCCATACTTGAGTTGCTGTTGTTGTGGTTAGCCCAGCTCGTGCCAGCCCCCATTCCGGGTCGAACCACCCAGGAACACCTAGGTAGCAACACAACACCAAGCGTGCACACATACTGGAGTCCGTCCGAAGATTATCTGCGGTGATTTTCCGCTCTTGACACTGGCCAGGAGCTCGTCGACAATGTCCTGGGTAATGTCCACCTGCATGGCCTGCACAGGCGGTCGTCTATCGTCCTTAAGTCCGGCGTCGCTATCCGGAGCCCCGACAAGGGCTATGCCGCCCGGGGGGAGCAGCGAGGTCGCCATGTTGGTGTTGTTGGCGTCTATGGAATCAAAGAGGCGGAACGAGGTGTGAAGCTCGCACCCGGATGTTGCTAGGAGAGGCAATGCATGGAGAGAGCACCCAGGCACTGAGCGAAGAGCAAGCAGTGCAGTCGGGCCCGAGGCAGAGACCCGTCACAGACGTCTCTGGCGTTTGGGTGAGGCGTTGGTAGGCTCGAGGAAGACGGAGGAACGAACAAAGGACGCTGCTCGGAGGACCGTCAGACAGGTCAGACTGTCACTGTCATAGCGCGCCCGGAATCCAGCGAGCAAGCGTGCACGGATATCAAGGTACGATGCTGAAACGATTGGTTGTCACGCACAGGATCAACGGCTGGGAGAACCAGACAATGTTGCTATAACGATGCAGTGTATTCACACGCAAAAGTGAAGGGTAGTGAGCTGGACGGAGGCCGAGCGAGTTGCGGTGTTGGGCCAGCACACATGCCTGAGAAGGCGGTGGTGCCGACAAGGGCGGTCGAGGCATAGCACGATTACGCTTCAGGGTGCCAAATCCAGCGGCGGCCCGCTTGCAAGGTACCTCGTGCTACCTCAATCTGTGGCCGCTGCAAGGCATTGCCATTCACGCCCACTGGTCCCATTTCGTTTTATTAAAACAGCATGCTCGTCACGGTACGATGCCATCATCACAGCATGCAAAAAGCGCAGAGCGACAGCTTTTGACTCGGGACTCGATCTCCAGTGCTGCGCCATATTCCAACACGCTGACCAGAGCTGCACGGTGTGCTGAGTCTGGCAAGCCTGGGCGGGTCCACCATCACTCGTGGCAGAACTGCGGGCAGCAAATGGCCTGCGTTTAAAAACGACGGGCGCGGAATTTGGGAGCCGGGTGCGCCAGGCAGGGTCGGGTATGTGCTGTACCTGTTTCGAATCCAAGCTGCCCTGTCCGTGTTTGAGACCACAGCAAGGCCATGCTTCACGTTGGCCTGCAGTTGCCTCTCCAGTATTGTCAATGAGGCTTTCTCCATCCCCCAGGGCGCATCGCCTGACCAGAAAGATTCCTCACGGGCTGAGGCTTTCGGTTGGGGGCATCGCGTCACCCGCGCTGTCATCCGGCGCGGCGGGTTCGGTGCTGGTTAGATCAGCTTCATCGGGAGGCGCCATGACAGGGTCATCCAAGCCCGACCTATTTTGGTGCCTGCGGAACCCTCCACCGAGAGTGGGGAGCTTGCTTCCTCGAACGACTCACTTGTTGGAGCTATGGTGGAACTCTGCAAATACCAGCAGCTCTCCAAGCTTTCATCAGTGTATCGAAACGACTAGATAATTCATCGCTGATTCCGTTGCGCTTCAAAGTTTTCATGCGAGTCATGCCACTCCGTCCAACCCCCCACCTCTAGCAGTCAGCCACACTCACGACTACGACGAACCATTTGACCAGGCGTACGTCGGCAAGCAGGGCTGCTTCTATGATTCGTAGAATATCATCGGCTGCAGCGTCAGGCGGTATGGTGGAGACTAAATCAGAGACTAGAAGCCATCCGCGTCGGAACCTCGCGTCCGGTTCGACGGCCAGCAACAATAACCGAATGCGTGAACGAACATGTTACTCAACATGTGCATGAGTAACGACGGCTGCAGGTAGACGAGCAGCGTGTGTTCGTGGTTGCTTCTGACC